GCTTTGACGCGCTCCCGGACGGGCGGCTAAAAAAGCCGCCATGCGATGCCAGCTGTCACCACCGGAAGTCGATTATGCTAAAGCCTTTGATTATGTGGATCACAACAAATTGTGGCAAGTTCTTAAAGAGATGGGAGTACCAGACCATCTTATTTGTCTCTTGAGAAACCTATATGCGGGTCAAGAAGCAACAGTGAGAACTGGACATGGAACCACTGATTGGTTCAAAATTGGGAAAGGAGTCCGACAAGGCTGTATTTTGTCACCCTGCCTATTTAACTTATATGCAGAGCACATCACGAGAAAGGCAGGGCTAGATGAATCAAAAATTGGAATTAAGATTGCCGGGAGAAATATCAACAACCTAAGATATGCAGATGATACCACTCTAATAGTAGAAAGTGAAGAGGAACTAAAGAGCCTCTTGATGCGGGTGAAGAAGGAGAGTGCAAAAGTTGGCTTGAAACTCAACATTAAGAAAACCAAAATCATGGCATCCAGCCCTCTCAATTCCTGGCAAATAGATGGGGAAGAAATGGAGATAGTGACAAATTTTATCTTCCTGGGCTCCAAGATCACCACAGATGGGGACTGCAGCCAAGAAATTAAAAGATGCTTGCTCCTGGGGAGGAAAGCTATGGCAAATCTAGACAGCATACTAAAAAGCAGAAACATCACCCTGCCAACAAAAGTATGTATAGTCAAGGCCATGATTTTCCCATTTGCAATGTATGGCTGTGTAAGTTGGACCATAAGAAAGGCTGAGAGCAAAAGAATTGAGGCCTTTGAACTATGGTGCTGGAGAAGACTCCTGCGAATCCCCTGGACTGCAAGGCGATCAAACCGGTCAGTCCTAGAGGAGATCAACCCTGACTGCTCTTTAGAAGGCCAGATCCTGAAGTTGAAACTCAATTACTTTGACCACCTAATGAGAAGGAAGGACTCACTGGAAAAGAGCCTAATGCTGGGAAAGATTGAGGGCAATAGAAGAAGGGGATGACAGAGAATGAGATGGCTGTATGGAGTCACTGAAGCAGTAGGCATGAGCTTAAATGGACTCCAGAAGATGATAGAGGACAGGAAGGCCTGGAGGAACGTTGTCCATGGGGTCACGATGGGTTGGACACGACTTCGCAACTAACAACAAAAGGCAACACAGAAGGAGGGAAGTCCTGCCAATTGTGGAGAGATGGCGGTCGATTCAATTAGTTTGGGAAAAGCCCTCCAGAAACCAGCAGGAGAAGAGTCTAGCTCACCTTCTGAGTCTAGACCAAGCTACAAGCCACCAACGTCCTAAAGTATTACTCCAAGCTGACTGTAAACAACGTGTTTGGAACTGGGTAAGAACAGCAATTTTCTCTCTTCTATTTGGAAATTGATTTCCTGAAAAAAAAACCAAGAAGCAAAAAGCCTCTGAAAGTGAGAAGGAGGGAGACTTTTGCCCCACCCTCCTGCAGACAGAAGTGGCGAATTAAACCTTTCAGGGGGAATAGAAATATGTTGAAATAAAAAGAATATAAGACTTAATTTGAATAAGTTTGAAATTGGTGGAATCTTTTAAGATTTTCCTTTTATATCATCAAAACAGAAATAAATGTTTATTACTGAAAGAACTGGTGCTGACATCTAGTGATGGATGAAGATATTACAACAACAGCTACTCTACTACAGAGACTGGCAAGGCCCAGGAAAAGATAAATTTGATCTTGGTGACCTTCAATATCTTAATAACAAAGAAAAGTTGTGATAAAAAAAGGAAACATCTTGGGCTTTCTATAAAGTGAGAATTATAAACTCTAAAAAAAAAGCATTGACCTTTCTGGACTACAAATACTAACTCAACTGTGACTCTAAAGCCATCTGCAGAGAAAGGAAAATCCTGATTTTTGGCTATCATGGAAAACCAGAGATCTGCAGAAAGAATATACCAAGAAAAAACAAATTTTTTCCAGAAGGAGATCTATGCTATGTTGCAACTAATCCAATTTTATTTCCTCTCAAACCACGAGTAAATTAAACATAACCTTGAAAACATAAATGAACACATCTCCAGTTTAACTTTACAACATAAAAATTCTCAGAAAATAAAAATAAAGAGTGAGCAGAGAAAACAGACAACTGATTATGAGACAGAGGAGAGAGATTTCAACATGGAATTTAACAATATTAGAAAATATGACTTAACCCAGATGGAAAAAAATCTACAGGGAACTCTGTACATGGAAAAGACAAACTACACTTTAAGATTACAAAATAAATTTGAGGACAAGAAAAAAGATTTGGTAAAATGGATTTTGCCAGGAGAACTACAAGATCTTGAGAGACAAAAAATAATAAATAAAATCAAGAAAGACAAAAAGGAAAAGATTTTCAATGAATACGAAGGGGCGAAACCTTCCTATAAAAAAACCTATTTTGCCTTTTGTACCTACAATAACATTTATAAGTTTATGGGAAAACTCTTTGATTCATCGAAGCATATTGAACAAGAAAAATGGGCCAAAAAAAAAGGCTAAAATGAGAATCAAGAAATTATATGATGGGAATTATCAGAGGGAGTATTTAAAAATTAAACATTTGTTTGAATATGGTTAAAGAAATAGAAAGATTTTGAATATAAATGAAGATTAGTTTAAGAGGGATGAGCCCCTTTCATTTTTTGTGTGTGTGTGTTTTTTTTAACATGAGAAATATAAAAATGTTGGGATGGTTTATATAAAAGAAATGTTTTCTCTGTTTTGTCTTTTTTTTCTTTTTGCTCTTATTTTCTTTTAAGATATGAGAAATATAAAAATTTGATGGTTTGTATGAGGAAAAAGATTTAAATACTTAAGTGTGACTAATTTTGTTTTGAATACTGTGCGGAAAACAAATTTAAATAAGAATGTAAACAGGATTTATGACAAGGCCATCAAGATGATCAATGAAAAGAAGCTTTATACTGATGTTGTTATTATTTGCAGAAACATGAGAAGAATGTTTATATTTAATTGTCATTTATTCAAATAAGAACTGTATTAATTTAAGATTGGCTAAAGAGAATATTATTGGAAGAAGAGGAAATCAAGTAAAGTTATTATATATGGACTATAGAATTATAGAAATTAATTGTTATTGATTGCTTTTTAAACATTAACCCAGACAACACGATGTTTACCAAATATTAAGGTGTATGTTAAAAATCAATAAAACATTTAAAAAAAAAAGAAATTGGTTATTAAAGCTATTGAAAAAAACCACAGAGATAAGGAGAAATGTTACTGATAGACAAGCAGGCAGAGCTGGGGTGGGGGGCAGAGTTAAGCACACCGTTACCTTGGAGTCATTACATTGTCACAAACGATTCGGGTCCAATCATGTTTGAATTCTGTTGACCCTTATCTGGTGCCAATTTAGTACTGAACTTTAGTTAACTAAATTCTTGTGCATAGGCTTGAGCATTAAATTTTTGAACTGCAACTTAACATGTGATCTTTTGATCCTTTGCGCCTGACATAGAAATGTTTAATAATTTATGGATATATAGATGGGATATAGGGAACAGTGATCATGTAATATAATATTGAAGGGAGTAGAGAAGTACAAGGTTTGCTTGTGCTTGTTGTAAACATTGGAAATCACTTTTTAAAATATTCTTTCTTTTCTCTCTCCTTTTCTCCTTTTCTTTTTGTTTTAGTACTTTTCATTTTTCTTTTTTATTTCAATTTGTATTATTTTTTACCATTGTTAATATCTCTAATAAAAAGTATTTTAAATAAAGAAAAAGTAGAATTTCATTCTAATTTCATTAAGACTACATTGAAAGTAGCGCTTCAGAATGTGCAGCATCATTATAAAATTCATTTTACAGATCATTATGGATAAACTGAGTAAATTACAGAATATGAAAAAAATGAACATGTGAAATCAGAAAGTTCATTGTTACATTTGCTCCCATTTTCTTTCTAGATCATGGAAGCTGTAGATGTAAAAGCAAAGAAGGTCAAAGAAAAAGAAACACCTTTATTTTATGAAGTAAGACAAAGTATTTTATTAATTTTTATTATTAGTTCGATTGCATTCATATGTCTAATCTGCCCAGCTTTGTAAGCTGATTAGAAAATTTTAACTTACTAAACATTTGAACATAAAAAAACATAAAAGTGTTAACCTAACCCTAATCCATATAGATTGTCCAGTAATTATCACTGTATAGTCAATGTTACTGAGTGCCTCTGAGAGGTTGAATAGAATCAAGAAGGGAATATTCCCCCATATCTATTTATTTTCACAAGAAACATCTTTGACTAGAATGAGCAATGCCAAGGTCACCGCCAGACTTGAATTCTGACCACCCAGAAAGTTGGTTGCCCTCTACTGTATGGTATGGACAGGGTGGAGTTGGGGAAGAAAGGCTACCCTACAATGATTTGATCAAAGTAGTCATCACCCTTTCATCTCCAGCAGTGACTAAGGCCTCAGTCATGTTTTGTGACAAGCCTTGGGGGGAAAAAATCAAGCTCTTTCTAGAATCAAATAGGTCCCTTGGAGTGAACTGATTGAATAGCCCTACTTCCCTGCAATAGGGCATTTGTGGCCATGAAGAATACCCTGGCACTCAGAAAGTGATCTGACTGTGACAAGGGACTGATATTAATTTCCTCCATATCCAGATGGCAATACCACTGCCCCAGTACAAAAGCCAGATACAGTATCCGACCTCTACTGTGATAGCTTTCTCAGATCTTTTGGAAGACTTCCCTTGTTTTTCTTGTCTGTTTCCATTTTTGCTGTCTTTATAGAAATCATTAGATTGCTTCTTGTCTCTTTTAACAGCTCTCTGAAATTTTTCATTAAATTCTTTCCTGAGATATTTGTCTTTTTTAGTTTTGGCTTTTGTTCTCTTTTTAGCAATTTCCAATGTTCTGACATTCATTTTGCTTTCTTCTGTTTCTTGATCTTTGGCTGTCTCTTCACATTCATTCTTAACACATTCTTTCATTTCTTTGATCCTTGGGCATCAGAGGTTATTTGTCATGATATGTGTGTATGTGTGTAATCCTTATTTGCCATCCATAGTCACTTGTGTGAGATAGATGGCTATATAAATCATATAAATAAATTCCATAGTTCCTCCAGTTTCCTATTAATAAAGGTTATGACTGCAAAATGATTCCTCATGTTCTCTTTGAAAATGGTGGGTATATTGTCAAGACTATATTGTGGAAACTGATTGGCTTTCCTTTTCCATATTACTTTAACTTGAAATTTATACATGAGCAGATCATGATGTGTCCCAAAAGTCAGCTGCTGTATATGTCTGTTATAAATGACTTCTTCCATCTGCTTGCATCACTAATATAATAGTTCTGATTTCTGTATATTTGGTTGGTGGAAGACTATTTTAGTAATGAAGGAATCATTGAATTGACAGAAAATGTTAAAGTCATTCCCATGCCTCATTTTGATTTCTCTAAGCCATACAATGCAACTACATTTTCCTGTTAATATTTCCAACTTTACATTTCAGTCTCCAACAAGAATGACATTGTGCCAATCCATTCTATTAATTTCAAATTAAACTCTCTCTTCTGCATCAGTAGCTGAAGCATAAACCTGGGTAATTTTATATTAAAGAATTGTCTGTGAAGCGTAATTGATATTATTCAATAATTGGTTATCCCAAGTACTGTTCTTGCTGCATGGTTTGAAAAATAAACAGTATGATCTTCTGACTAAAAGTGTCCAGTTCCAGCCTATTTCAATTTACTGATGCTTAAAATATCAACGTATAGTCAATTCGTTCAATTTTTCACTATGCAGAGCTTTTCTGTGTTCATGCTTTTAATGTCTCATCTTCCCACTGTAATTATGTCTTTACAGCTTTGGATTTTGTTTTCCTGCAATATCAGCAACCAGACTTCTCAAAAGCTTTAATCTAGCCATATCTTAAATAACATTAGTACTATGAAAGATCCTTAGCATCCATCCTGAGGGGCCCATCATTTGATAGTATAAGATCAATCATTCATATTCTGTTTCTATGTGGTTTTCTTGGTAAAATACAAGAGTGTTTACTTTGGCTTCCTTCTCTCAGGCAGTGTGAAATGATGCCTTTGCCATTGTCATTAAAGTGATCATCCATCCCCAACATCTTCTTTATTGCTGCTGCCCAATATAGCAGAGCAGCTGAAGTGACCTTCATGCCTCAGTTGACCCTGTTGTTGGCATAAACTCTTAGCATTCTTTGCCCATCCAATCCCACCCCCCACCCCCCACCCCATCTTAAGTTACTGTGACACAGCACAGCAGAAGTTGGAGTTGGGAGGAATTAACACTTTATATGCACAGAAATATATTACTTTGCAAATTAGAGGAATAAAGATATATGTACAATAGCATGAACAATATATTGAAGAGTACGATGCCTATTGGTTGGGTTTCTGAGTGAGCTATTGGGTCCCTGACCACAAGTTGTTAGAAACTGAGAATGTGCTATAATCTGTTCTTGTTAAGTCCCTGATTGTACTATGACGATGTTGCTATCCTTTAAAAAACTGTCCAGTACTCAGCAATTCTATGGACCAGTTCTTCCTACATTTTCCAATTTTGTATGGCTTTTTTCAGTTGTTTTATGCTCTGGTTGACATTATCAGCTTTAGTAATTCTACCCACCATGTTTTAGGGACCTTGTTGCATTTTACCACAGACCACTCTGAGCATAACTGCCTTTTCCAGTGAGTTTGATTGCATGACATGACTGAAATAAATAAGGCAAAATTTTGTGAATGCAATATATCTGGTTTTATATGCTCCAGTACTTCCTTGTTTATCACCTTTGTTGTTCCCGGAATATGCAGAAGTCTTTCCCAGTGTCACAGCTTGAACAAATCAATTTTCCTCCTTTCTGTTTTTTCCCCAATCATGGGTAACTATGGTAAACACAATAAAGAGTAATAATCTGCATTTAGTTACCAGACTGATATTGTGCTTTTTCATATGTGATTTATGCTCATCATTGCTGTACAACCCAGTGTGATTTGATGTTTTATTTTTGGACTGCATTCACTGCTTTGATCAATCTGTGATCCTAGGAGAGTGAATTCTTGCACACATTCTCTCTCTTAACTGTCAATTGTTATTTTGACATTTCCGTTCCTCACAGTGATCATGAGCTTGTTTCTTGTTTCTTTTTCTTTTTTTTGATGTTCAGGAAGAGGCCATATTTCTTGCTTTCTTTAATTCTTTTGATCAAATGTTTCATGCCTTTAATTTCTGACAGGAGAATTGTGTCATCAGCATATTAAATATTGTTGATGATCCTTCCTCTAATTTTTCTCCAATGTATGATTGTTCAACTGCTTGTTTCCTCATGATCACTTTGACAGGTAGGTTGAATAATGTGAAAGAATGCAATGTTGCCACATTTTTTTTTCTATCTTAATCCAATCAGTGTCTCCATATCATGTTGTACAGCAGCTGCACCAACTTGACCAGATGTGTTTGCACTCCCAGGTCTTCTAGGGTTCTCCACAGCTTGCCATAATTGACAGAATGGAAGGCCTTCTTGTAGTCAATAAAGCAGATGCTCTTTTAATGTCCTTAAGATTTTTCCATGATCCAGCATAGATTTGCAATATGGTCACTAGGACCATGGTGCCTTCTGAGGCCAGTTTGAACATCTGGTAATTCCCTTTTGACGGAGAATCTTGCTAGTGTGATGGGTGAAGGCAATTGGAGCAGTCTTTGGAGTTGCCCTTTTTTGGCAATAGAATGAACATTTCCATTCCTGTAGCCATATGTTTGTTTCCCACATTTTTGGCACAAGTAACCCTACCAACACCCACCGTATTCGAAGTCGTTAAGACATCCTTCCATAGTTACGGTCCCTGGAACAAACCGTCAACCGAGTAACGGGTGTGCTGAACTTCCTACCGACCAAGATAAAGACGAAGAAAAAGGAGTAATAGAACTTCTCCGACCTGAGAAATAAGACCCGTATGTCGATAAGACATATCAGAACGGTAACTCCAACATGATTGGATGGATAATTCACCAATGGGTTATCTTAACCTTCCTGCTCCACGTGACTAAGTCTGAGTCTATAAATATCAGTACCACGCCATGTGCTCCCCAGTTTTTCGACTTAGTCTTCATGCTCCAGACGCTTTAAAGAACAAACTTAAACTTTCTTCAACAATCAATCTACAATTATCACTCTCAACAAAGGATTAATCTCATATCAGAAGAGAGATTCCCAGGGGAACCATACCAGGGAGAGGATTCCGTTGGATCCCTCTGCTTGGATTCCACAGGGAGAGCCATCCTCCTTTGTTCCAGGAGGTACCTACGAAGGCCTCAGCTGCATAGGGAATCTTCTGCAATCAGCTGTTCCTCATCGGTGAATCTCCTCGCTCCAGAGGCATCGGAAGGATTCCCTCGGGACCGGTAAGTAATTTCGCCCAAAATACGACGACGAGGCTTCCCTCGGCGTGGGAAACCCTTGGAGAAACCCCTCTTAAGCCCACGCCGTTCGATGCAGCTGACAGGGCTTTTACCCGGTCGGGAGGATTCCGAGGGAAGGGGAATTTCCCTTACGAGCCCTCTGCCTCCGAAGCCTCCCTCTGGGAAGCTCTACTCGCCCTCGCCATTAAAACAGCCAGCAGGGCTTGGGAATTCCCTCACGAGCCCTCTGCCTTCGAAGCCCCCCTTTGGGAGGCCCTACTAGCCATCGCCATTAAAACAGCCGGCAGGGCTTGGGAATTCCCTCACGAGCCCTCTGCCTCCGAAGCCTCCCTTTGGGAGGCCCTACTCGCCCTCGCTGTTAAAACAGCCGGCAGGGCTTGGGAATTTCCTCAAGAGCGCTCTGCCTTCGAAGCCTCCCTTTGGGAGACGCTACTCGCCCTCGTCATTAAAACAGCCGGCAGGGCTTCCCTCACTCGGGAGGCCACTGAGGGGGGGGAATTTCCCCTCGAGGTCCTCCACCGATCACCGGCAGCCGAAGAGGATTCCCCCAAGCCGGGGGAACCTCCAGG